ACTCTTGGCACCAGCAGCCAGGAAATCAAAAGGCGTATCGCGATGGGAAAGTCTGCTGTTAGGGACCTCTCTAAAGTAGGAGCAATGGTGTCTCTCTGGAGACTAAGGTGCGCCTGATACAGGCCATGGTCTTTGCAATTGCTTGTTATGTATCAGAGAGTTGGACAATGACTAGGGAGGACAGAAGGAGAGTGGATGCTTTTGAGCTGTGGTGCTGGAGAAGAGTACTGAATGTACCATGGACTGCCAGGAAAACAAACAGATTCATCTTGGAGAGGATTAAACCAAGCTACTCCCTGGAGGCAAGGATTCTGGGGCTTCGTCTGACATACTTTGGACACGTTGCAAGGAAGGGTGGGTCCTTAGAGAGGGACATCATGCTTGGGAGGGTGGAGGGACAGCGCAGGAGGGGAAGACCCTCTGTGAGGTGGATTGATTCAGTGACTGGGGTACTTGGGATGGGTGTGTCAGAGGCAATGAGATTGGCACAGGATAAGAGCACAGTTTAGGGCTGTTGTACATAGGGTCACTATGAGTCGCAAACGACTCGACGGCACATAACAACAACAACATACAAAACCTGTACCTAGATCATGAGGTTGTTATACAGTGTGGTTTACTATTGGGAGAAGTGTACATCAAAGTTGCATCTTTCTCCATACCTATTCAATCTATATGTTCAGCAAATTATTCAAGAAGCTGGAGTCTATGAGGAAGAATGTGGCCTCAGGATCCAAAGAATATGCATCAACAATCTGTGTGATGTATGATTCAACCTTGCTTACTGAAAAGTGAGGAGGACTTGAAACACTGCAGATCAAAGACTGCAGCCTTCAATATGGATTGCATCTCAACATTCTTTCATCACTAGATTGGTAAGTAACATCATATAGTTGGAAAAAAGACTGACACTGTCCACAACTTCATCTTATTGGATACCTAATCAATGTGCTTGGTACCAGCAAGTCGGGACCTCTCCAAAGCACTGGGAAGCAATGATGTAAGTTTGAAGACTAACATGGGCCTAATTAAGGTCATAATCTTTTATTTTTTTAAAAAATTAATAAATATTTTAATTGTGATTTTAATGAAAGTTTACAGGAAAGTTAGATTTTCATTCATTCATTCACTGTTGCACAATTCCTCCCTCCTTCAATTAATTTTCTTTTCTTTTTTAAATATTTTTTCATTGCTGCACAATTTCCTCCCCGCTCTTACTACTCCCCAATGATCTTTTCAATTATTTTCTATGCATCTGAGAGCTGGACAATGAATAAGGATGACAGAAGAACTGACACCTTTGAACTGTGGAGAAGAGCACTGTTCATCCCACGCACTTGCAAAAGAATAAACGGGTACGCTTTGGAAAGTGTAGCCAGAATGTGCCATGAAGGCAATGATGATGAAGCTTCATGTCACATACTTTGGTCATGTTGCTAGGACAGACTACTCCTTGGAAAGAGACATTATTCCTTATCTGTTTCAATGCAGTGTACATTCGTTATCCCCTCTTTTCTTAGTTTTCCCCCAACTGCCATGTCAATCCTGTTTTATAACAGTGGCATTATGCAGTACTTATCCTCTTGTGACTGAGATATTTCACTCAGCATAATGTCCTCTAGGGTCACTTATTTTGTATATTTCATGAGTTCCTTGTTTTTCAGTGTTGCACAGTATTCCACTGTGTAAATATACCAGAGCTTCTCTATCCATTTTTTGGCTGATGAGCACTTGGATTGTTTCCATCTCTTTGCCATTGTGAACAATGCAGCAATAAACATGGGTGTGCATATATCTGTTGGGGTGGCAGTCTGATTTCTTTAGGGCATATTCCCAGTAGTGGAATTGTTGGGTCAAATGGTATTTCTGTTTCCAACTTTCTGATAAAGTGCCATACTGCCTTCCATAGTGGCTGCACCATTTTACACTGCCATCAACAGTGAATAAAGGTTCCAGTGTCTTCACAACCTCTCCAGTACTTTTTGTTTGCTGCTCTGCTGAATTTTGCTATTGTTAGTAGGAGGGTAAGATGACATCTCATGGTTATTTTGTAAAAGTATTATTTATTTTAATTTTTTTATTATTTTGTGTGTGTGTGTACTCTCAATAAGATCTGACTGGTACAGGAGGAGATTGTCCCTCCTTCTTCAGTAAAGCATCTGGTGGATTCGAACCATGGACCTCTGGGATTGCAGTGTATAAAAGAATTTTTAAAATAAAAACAAACAATAGTAATACTTAAGCTAAAAATTGAGAAAGGAAAATTAAAGCTGTTGACAAAAGTTCTAGGCAAAGAAAAAAAAAAAAAATCAAAGAACTTATGTACTGTCAGGATGGAACCAACTCATAGGGGACCTTCCAGCAAGTTTTCAGAGGCAGTAAATAATATGGGAGGAGATTTTCTCCCATGATGCAGCAGGTAGATTCAAATGGCATGCCCCTGGATTGGACACGCAATTCCTTTCCACTAATCCAATAGAGCTCATGAAAAGAATACAGAAAACAAACCTTGATATAAAAAGTAAATGTAATAGAAATAATGATAGAAAGAAAAGAAATTAAAAGAATAGTAAAGAATAGATAGTAAAGAAATTAGAAGAATTGTTTTCAATACAACTGTGGTATGTTTCAGTATCTGGACATAGCAAGGCTTATGGAGATAAAACTGTCAAAGTGCAAGGGACTGGTGATGCCTAGGTTACAACTGAATTGTTCACATAAATACTGAAGCTACCCAGCATGCCAACAGAAGTTATAAGGGTAGCAGGAGTTAAAGTAAAGGAGAAGAATGGACTTTAGAAATGATGATCACAAGGACAGACAGTGTCACATATCAGAAAACTACTTTCAAACATAGTGAAAGCACAGTGGTCTATCAAAATGGCAAGAGGGAATGATAAGTGACATCTGTTAACTGAGAGGCAAGAAAGCCACATAAGAATCTCCACTATTATTCAGGGTGGGGGTGGAGGGATGCGGGGGGGATTGTATACCAATGAAAGCGTTTTTATTTTGTTTTTCAAGGAGAAGAG